ATATATATAAATAAAACTTTGCCATGAGACAGCTGACATTGTATCCAGCTAGTCTCTCACCAAAGCGGGGTGGGGGGTTGCTGGTCTACCTCTGCCTCCATCGGTTTGGGGAGAACATTGACTGTATAGCTGTTTCACAGTAAGGTAAACTGGTGAAAATATTCTAAATATAGCGTAAAATTGAGCTGGAATTGATTTTCTTTTTTTTTTTAGGTCGGCATGTATTTTAGGTGGCCAAAATACATTTTGCTGAGCATCCACAGCAGTGCATTGCTTTGCTGCTGTGCCTGTACTCATGTCTGCTTCTCCAAACAGGGAGTGTGCAGATCACCGTCTACCAGAACCCCCTGAAGGTTAGCTGTTCAGCTCCATGCTATCAACAGACAAGCGGGTCACTGCGATTACTCTGAGCAGCAAGCATGGGAATGAACTACAATAACAACTGTCTGATTAAGTTGGTTGTTTCAAATAGTGAGGTTGTTCCTCCTCAGCGCATTTTGGACATGCAGTTGTGACTAATTGTGAACTTTATGTTTTCTTCTCATTGACACGTTTGTGTGTGTGTGGTTGTGACATAACTTCCTGCCGACATGAAACTATCATGCGAAAATGGCACCTGTGTGTAAACGTGACCGCCAAGAAGTATTAGCCCACAGCACAGTAGCTTCCACCCCTACATCAACTACGATTAAACACAATTTTGCTTTCTCAGTGTATTGTTTTAATAATAGCAATTAAAAAACTACTTCTGTAAAACTGAATGAGCTTGTTTAGAACCTACAAAAAGATGTGTGATCAGTCAGAGTGGTTTATCACTTTAGATGTGTGGCCCTGATCCCACCACATACCTTTCAGATTCAGTAGCCTCTGTTCACTGAACCACTTCTTTATCTCTCCTCTGGACAGCCCGGTGGTCTCTATCAGCCTGTAGATCTGTCACATGACACGATGCAACACAAAATGAGACGGTGTGTGAGGGTCTTTATCAGCGATAGCGGCGTGTTAAAAAAAAGAAAAAACCAGTAGCACAAAATCTAAAGCAGCTACAAAAATCCAGAGAATATATAAATAAGTACACGACCTTCTAAAACATGGCACAAATCATGTCATTTCACTCACTTATTCTTACCTCATCTTCCTCGGGGAAAGGACAGTGTGTGTAGCTGGACCTCAGTACTGATAACTGCTCCGCTGTTTTGTTGTGGTCAACTGTGAAACTCAGCACTTTGGGTGACGCCAGCTTGGATGTGACCATCGGCGCCGAGATGGTTTGAATGATGGACGGTCGTTTACTCTCCGTGGAGATCATAGGGGAGGTCAGGGGTCGTTTCAGCGACTGTGCCACCTGAGAGGTAAAACATGGTGGAAACAGTGACCAATCATACGGCTTTGTGTTCGTACAAGTTAACATTTCCGCCCGAGGTTTCGTACCTGGTTAGCCACGGTGAGGGCCAGCGGTGCACAAGTGACAGTGGAGCCGTTGGCTACAGTAGTCAGCACCAGGCTGGTCTGTCCCAGGAGGTGACAGGGGAGGGACTGCAGGACAGAGGCTGCCGACTGCATGGCTTTGGAGGCTGCAGTGGAGGCATACGAGTTGGATGACTGGGAGTTGAGGTGAGGAGCTACCACGGTGAAGGTCTGAGGCACGGAGGAGATTGTTCCGTTGAACATTTTCTTCCTGGCTTCTTCCACCTGCCAAAGAAGGAACGCAATTGTTATACTTGTACGTGGAAAAAAAAAAAAAAAAGAAGCCCTTATCTGTAATGTATGGCTGCCATTTTAAATATCTGCAGTAATTAAAGTACCAAAATTCTTCTTCTTCTTAACATCTTGACTATTTTCAATTAAAGCAGATAATCAAACTGTTGGTGAAATTGCCTGTTTCAAAATGGATAATATTGTATCATTTTCTAATTCACTTTATTGTTTAGGTTATTACCAGTAATAATCTCTAATACTTTCATTTAAATAAATCTAGTCTATTATGTCACTATCTATCGCCAAATGAGGTGACACAATGGTGATTGATCATATCGCCCGCTGATGAAAGCCCTTAATATTTGCAGTATTACAAAGTGGGTATCTGTGGCAACATTCTGGGGAAAGTGAAAATGACGTATGATTTAACAACATCAGCAATCAGACAAAAGCCCAAAATCTGATCAGAGCTTATCACAACAGACAATTAGTTTACTTGAGCTATTATTTGCCTTACAGTTCTATAAGAAGATGGGATAGCCAACATAAAATGCAACACAGGATAATTATTGTCAGTATTTGTAATCTGGATGCAAGTTAAATGATAAGTTAGAAATACAGTTTCTATCACCATTATTAGTTTTGGTAAAACACACTAAACTTTTGAGGGAAGAGAATTGAAAGAGTGCCTCAAACATCATCATTACTGTACTTCCTACCTCCTCCGGTGACCAGCTAATGCCCTGCTTCAGCCTCTGGGTGGTAAACCAGACTTTGATTTGCTCCTCTGGATGTTTTGAGGCTGCAGTGAGCCAGGAGAGCTCAGCCTGTGTTGGGTAAGGGAACTTGTTGAAGGAAGAGATGAGCGTCAGGTTGTCGTCCAGCGAGGGGTTGTATTTGGTTGTGTTGAGGGGCACTGCGATCTTCGGCACCTGAAATGATATAGTAAGCAATGGCAACTGAATAGCCTTTGTACTGTGATCAGTTCACAAACAAAACACCATGATGTATGTTAAAAACTGAAAAAAAAGTTTAAGCTATAACTTTAGGAGTCTTTAATTCCCTAATAATGTCCAAGGCAAACCCTAAAAAGAACCATGAAATTTGGTGCCAATTATGTGGAAAATTAGAGTTTCCTTGAAAAATCGAATAATGCATTTATCGTCGAGCAGGAATAGTTTATAAAAGAAAATGAGTATCCTTCCTCCACCGGGTGTCCTACCTGAGTGTAGTTTACAGGCCGCTGTAGGGAAGGCATGATGTGAGAAAGGCCTTCTGCTTTGAGTAGAGTCGACTCGGGGAAGAGGACCGTTCCGTTCAAATTGAAAGCTGTAATTGGTTTCTTGGCCAAATCTGTCCGTTTATTATCCGACGACATTATTTTTGGTTTCCCGATCTTCACCGTGGTGGGTTTGCTGAGTGGCAGAGCGCCCGGTTCGTCCCCTTTGCCACAAACGGCACTGGACGTGTTGCAAACGAATGCGCTGTTACTGCACCCCTCTATCGTCTGTTCCAAGATTGTCTGATTATTCATTTTGATGCGTTTGAATTTAAAGTTGCTCTCCCCTGGGTGACACCTCTCGTTGTGTTCCGTCAGTGTGTCGAACTTCTTTGTGTTGAAGTTGCAGACGGCGCACAGGTACAGCGGGTTGAGGATGACGTTGGGGTGGTTGGCATCGACGTGTTCTTTGAAATTGTTGAGGTTCTGCGTGGAGAAGGGGCAGTATTTACACTCGTAGCCCCCCTGCTGCCTACGCGGAGGCTTGGATAGGTCTGGTGGCTCTGTTGCTGGTTTGTCTGGACCCATGGGGGGGTCCAAGGCCTTGCCCCTCAGGTCTAATTCCGTCTCTGTTGAGAGATCTGCCTCCATAGGCCCCTCCTCGCTATGGTTCTCCGTTTTCGTCTGGAAGAAGAAAGTTTTCAGATGAAAAGGAGACTTAACTAGAAGTGGCATTTACATGTATTGAATCATTCTGAAATCAGTACACAACCACTGATACACACAGATATACAAGACAAGGTATGCTAGTGAAGAGAAAGATAAGGATGATTACAAATGACTGATTAAAGTGCAGTGAACAAAAAACTGTTTTAAAATCACAAGTTAGAAACTGTTTTCATACGACGCTCTATATTAAAGAAAGCTAGCTGCTCTTGACAGACACATTGAAAGTGTACCTCCATGTCTTCTTCTGTGTCGTCATCCAGCTCCACCATGGTCCGCTCTGGTCGGATCATCAAGGGAGTGGAGGCCTTCCGTCGACTGGACATGATGACGGGTCCTGGGTTTGTCTGGGTGGACAGCTGCTCTCACTGGGTGCCTGTGATTGGCCACAGATGATATCGAGAAGGCCGAGGTGCCCAGGGTGCGGGATGCAGGACTGCTATCACGGAGCGGTTGGCGGATAAACAGCTCCAGGTACCGAAGAATAGCCAGGAGACCTGGCTTGTACTTGGACCAAGATGCAGGCCTGGGCTCTCTTGTATATTAGGAGGGGGTAGGGAGCACAGCACAGTTTGTGGGATAGGGAGTGAGCAGCCAATCAGTCTGAAGAGCCGTTTTCCCCAGGAGTAAGATTAGAGAGGAAGGCAGTAGAGGGTGAAGGTCTGGTAGAGACGGGACCGTTTGTGCCGGGCTCGCTGACAGCGTCAGCTCCAATGCTTGCTGACCTCCTGGAACTTCATGACGGGATGCTACCTGGATGGTAGAAAGAAGAGAAGAACCAGAGTATAACAGCGGATTATTACTAACATTAGACAGAAGTTTTTATCAAACGCGGAAGTCGGACAAACAAGCCTATTATTTTATTTTTTAGACCGCATCGTCATTAATGTCGATTACTGTCTTTAATTAATTGACAATAGCATGGCTATATGCTTATTTAAATTCTATTGTTGTACAGTAGCCTCTCTGCTCAGTTTGCGAAGAGTTAATTTTGCTAACTTCTTTTAATAGAATACATTTGTTGGAACGTGGATCACAGCGTTTGTGGGTTTTTAGTGTTTCTTTGCAGTTTACATGTAGGCTATTATATACCCATTTAAAACATGCATCCAGTAGTTGCCATATTGGCCTGCTATGACTTAAATACATTTAATAAGTGAAACCAGTGACGTGTCACAGATCTCATCTGCACTGACATGATCACTCAATAGAAGTCACAGAAATAACAATGGAGCAAAATTGAAAATGAACATTTTGAGACAACTGAGACATTGGAGTATACATAGGGAAGAATGAACAAAAGTGAAACACGGGTAAGGAAAAGCCTCCGATACCCTCTGCAAGTGTCTTTGAATTGCCTTTAAAAGTATGACAGCAGGCACCAAACAGGCTGGTTTGAGCTTGTCAAGAAAGGCAACGTGCTGGGCTATTTAAGCTCGGCGGTGTCCCATGTGGATCTGCAGCAAGCCACCATCCAAAAAGAGGTAGTCGAGTCAACAGTCAGCAGACGGGCAAAATTGGCTCAAAAGGAAAAAAGGTCAAAGGAAGCCGACAAAGAAACGGCAAAGCAGAGCAGATGGCCTACAGGTGGTCCACCGCCAGACCTGCACAACAATGGTGCTGAAAAGAAAAGCCAACGCCCTTAACAAGAAACTAATTGCAGTGGGCTGAGGAGCAATCACTAGACACTGGAGGTCTGAAGAAGAAGTACCCCGCTTAATGAGTGTTTGTGGTTTCATGCTGATGGAGGGAACAAACAGTGTGTGTGTGTAGAAATCCAGAGGACATGCAAAGCACAACTATACACAAACCTAGAGGCAAAAAGGAATGAAAGGCAGTATTGTTAACAGTACCTCGTGTTTTTATGTCAGTGTGTGTGTGTGTGTGTATA